TTTTTTTAACTTTAATTTTGAGTTCAAGGGGTAACAAGTAGAAAAAGAAGTCCCAAGACACTTTTAGGAGAGTTTTCAGAGAAAATAAACTTATTTTTAATATTCCACCCTGTTCCTCCAGCAAGTACAAAGAGAACAAAAACACTAATCCTACCCTTCAGTACACACATACTAGTGTGGTATAGGTTACAAAGAGGATTTAATTAGCTTGCATGTGAGAAAAGGCAGGGATTTAAGGGGGAATAAAAGTAGGACGAAAGAAATGGGAAAAAAAGGGATATTTCCCACTCACCTTCTTGAATAAAATATTTTTCTTATCTTTGAATATTTGTCATCCAGTGCCTACTACTACACTCTTAGAAAGTAATGTGACTTGAAATACTTTTTATTTATATAGAAAACACAACATAGTCAAAGAAAGACAACTAAATTTCACAACAACCTGAAGGGATCATTCAAGAAACTAGTTACTTAAAGTATTTTTAGTACATATATACAATGGAATATTACTTAGCCATAAGAAAGAATGAAATAAACCCAATCGAAAAATGGGCAGATGATCTAAATAGACATTTCTCCGAAGAAGACATACAGATGGCCAAAAAGCACATGAAAAGATGCTCAACATCACTAATTATTAGAGAAATGAAAATCAAAACTACAATGAGGTATCACCTAACACCAATCAGAATGGCGATCATCAAAAAATCTACAAACAATAAATGCTGGAGAGGGTGTGGAGAAAAGGGAACCCTCTTGCACTGCTGGTGGGAATATAAATTGGTACAGCACTATGGAGAACAGTATGGAGGTTCTTTAGAAAACTAAAAATAGAGCTACCATATGATCCAGCAATCCCACTCCTGGCATATATCTGGAGAAAACCATAATTTGAAAAGATGCATGTACCCCAATGTTCACTGCAGCACTTTTTACAATAGACAGGACATGGAACCAACCTAAATGTCCATCAACAGAGGAATGGATAAAGAAGATATGGTACATATATACAATGGAATATTACTTAGCCATAAAAAAGAATGAAATAATGCCATTTGCAGCAACATGGATGGACCCAGAGATTCTCATACTGGGTGATGTAAGTCAGACAGAGAAAGACAAATATCATATGATATCGCTTATATGTGGAATCTAAAATATGGCACAAATGAACTTATTTACAAAACAGAAATAGAGTCACAGATGTAGAAAACAAATTTATGGTTACCAGGGGGGGAAAAGGGAGGCAGGAATAAATTGGAAGACTGGATTGACATATACACGCTACTATATATAAAATAGATAACTAATAAGGACCTAGTGTATAGCACAGGGAAGTCTACTCAATACTCTGTAATGACCTACATGGGAATACAATCTAAAAAAGCGTAGATATAGGTATACATATAACTGATTCACTTTGCTGTACACCTGAAACTAACACAACATTGTAAATCATCTATACTCCAATAAAAATTTAAAAAAAAAGGCAAACAACCCAATTTTTTAAATGGGCAAAATACTTAAACAGGAACGTCAGAAAAGAGAACATCCAAATGGCCAATAAGCATATGAAAATATTCTCAACATCACTATTCATCAGGGAAATGCAAAATAATGCCATTATACTAAGTGTTAAAAAAGAAATAACAAGCCCCAAATGGGGTCACCCACCCCCCATCACAGCAAACCAAGCCAGTTTCAACCCCTCCCAGAGATGTGACCTTTAAAACAGTCCAACTGAGGGCTTCTCTGGTGGCACAGTGCTTGAGAGTCCGCCTGCCGATGTAGGGCACACGGGTTCGTGCCCCGGTCCGGGAAGATCCCACATGCCGCGGAGCGGCTGGGCCTGTGAGCCATGGCCGCTGAGCCTGCGCGTCCGGAGCCTGTGCTCCGCAACAGGAGAGGCCACAGCAGTGAGAGGCCCGCGTACCGCAAAACAAACAAACAAACAAACAAAAAAAACAGTCCAACTGAAATTTCCTGAGAAAGACCCCTGCGGTTCCGGTCCTGGTAGAAGACCTGGCCTGAAACAATCCTTTCTTTTCACTTACTAATACCTTTTCGCTCCCTCCCTTCCTTCTACCTATAAAAGCCTTCCATTTTGTACAACCCCTCCTAGTGCTGCTGATTCTTAAATTTTGGAATAAAGCCATTAGTTCTTCAAAAAATAAAAAAGAATGAAATAATGCCATTTGCAGCAACATGAATGGACCTAGAGATTATCATACTAAGTGAAGTAAGTCAGACAGAGAAAGACAAATACCATATGATGTCACTTATATGTGGAATCTAAAAAGATGATACAAATGAACTTACCTACAAAACAGAAACAGACTCACAGACTTCGAAAACAAACTTATGGTTACAAAAGGGGAAAGGTTGGGGCGGGGGGAGATAAATTAGGAGGTTGGGATTAACAGATACACACTACTATATATAAAATAGATAATCAACAAGGACCTACTGTATAGCACAGGGAACTCTACTCAATATTCTATAATGACCTATATGGGAAGAGAATCTGAAAAAGAATGGATGTGTGTGTGTGTGTGTGTATATATATATGTATATATATACACACAAAAGAATGGATATATGTGTATATATATGTATATATAGGAATCACTTTGCTGTACATCTGAAACTAACACAATGTTGCAAATTGACTATACTCCAATATAAAATAAAATTAAAATAAATAAAATGAAGTATCTTTAAAAAGTTACATACAATTATAGGAAGGGAAAAGGTTTTTTTTTAAGATGAATGAATTATGAACCAAATATATTAAATATATGAGCTATTCAACACATTGGAAGACTCCAACTTTCTGTTTAAATCCACAGAATTTATGTATCATTAGTTATTATAAAGGTATCCTGTATTTTCCTAAGAAATAATGCTATACAAAAAATCTTAAGGCAATCCACAGAACTTACTTTGATCCAAAAGAAGTCTAAATGATCATTATGTAGTAATAGTACTAAAGAATTTTAACTACCATTTATAATATAGTTTCTGGAGAAAATTATGTTTGAAGTATCAACTTAAAATGTAAGAAATAAATATCAAACTCCTGCAGGTTTGTTTTTTTTGATACTGGAAAAAGGTTTCATAAGATATGTCCACTTAACACAAGAGCTGGCAATTTTATGGTACCTAGTGTGAGAAAGAAGGGACAGTTCATTGGGACTTTATTTTGAAAAACAGAACTAAAAGGCATGAACTGTTTGTATTTCCCAAGCTGATCATGACTTTTTACATCTCCATTTTCACTGTATTTGGCACACAGACCTCAAATAATTTTGGAAGATATGTAGGTAGGAGGGAAGAAGAGGAAAGATACAGCTGTTTAATTAATCCTACAAATATTTATTGAGTATCTAACAAGAATTGTTCTAGGAACTTGGGAAATGCAGCTGAACAAAAAGGGCAAACAATTTATGAAGAATTTCTGTTGCTAGTAGCAACAACTAAAGTTACAGTGACAAGAGATCTGAGCCAGTGCTCCTGGGTCCCATTTACTCTCTGATAATGAACAGTTTAACTCCTACTTCTATGTCTTCCTTTAGTACAAAATAAACAGAAAACAAAAACAAAACAACAACAAAGAAAGAAATTCCTCCTGAGCATTTTATCAGAAACCAGAATAATGCTTCTGGGGTGAAAAATCCCCAAAGATGCACTACATATGACCAAGGATATGGACGTTTCTGCTAGAAAGCAGATTAAACTCGCTTTCATGCTCTCATATCACCTCCCACTCACTAGTGCAAACTACCCAGTGAAAGGCAAGACCCATGAGGACTAGAGTCTTGAGACAGCAACATGTTCTGAAGAGATGGTAGACTGCAAAGGAATCAGGCAGTAACAATATACTAACACTAAAAATAAGAAATAGAAATCTAGATTTGACTTATGACTACAAGAATAGTACATGTAAGAGAAGAATGTGTACCTTCAAATAATTAAAGGAGCTATATAATTTCACTGAAGAGTACACTACTAAATAAGGGAAAACTTTTCCCTACTTGGTATGTTACCATCAGGCTTTAATTAATTATAATCACAGTACACAATGCAGGGACACTTAAAGGGCTATGGAGAGTCATTATTTTATCCGGTAAAACCATCTTTCATAATCAAGTCAGACACAGATTCCAGGAGATATGATGCAATTCCATGCCCAGAGGTCTTCTCAGGCTTTAAAATCAATCTTTTGTTTGAATCCTCCCTCTTCAGGCATATTCTATATGACATTAAGCAGAAGCAAAAGAACCTAAGAATCTAAGCAAAATTTAGAGGCTACTGGATTATGAAAGATTTTCTATCACCTAGTATCTTAAAAACAACTTCCTTTTAATTTCTTAAAAGCAATTTCAGTTTTAATTACAAGATTTATTTATGCCAAAAGCAAACCAATTCTTTATTGATTCAGTGGATAACTACCACTAACCTAGGAGATATTTTTCTTTTAATATCCTATAACTCAGAGTCCACCAGTAAGTATACCTTATTGGTCAAAAAAAATTTTTTTAACACAATATTTAAATTAAAAAAATACACCAAGAAAAAAATATTAAAACTATACCATATATTATTTACTGTTTTGAGTTAGTTTATGCTCTGCCATAATTTACAAGAATTCAGAGTTAAAGTTTACAGTTGGATGTATCTTGAGAAACCTATTTAGGATGTTTCAAAAATCTAATGAATTCTCATTTTAGAACTCAGACATTTTAACACTATACATAATACGTAATCTCAGACTCCGGAGGGAAAAACACAATTTCTATGGTCAAAGAATTTACAGTCATTAAATAAAAACAAGTTTTCCTCCTTACAAGAATCAAAGTTGTAAGCAAACTTTTAAAGTGCTATGGGCCACTTCACATGGAATAATCCTAGGTAGCATTTATTCTACATTTGTATTCATGTTGAGATGTTTACAACCAAATTTGTACTTAATTTGTTAGGCCTCAATTTAATTTACATACCTGTACCGATGAATATTTGAAAAAATTTTCCATTTGATACCGTCTAAGAACTTCATTTAGCCTTTGATCTGAAACAAAGAGAAGAACCAATTTGTAGTTAATTGGGTAATGTTCAACTTTTAAAAAGTAGAAATAAAGTAGATATTATTTGATACATCTAATGCAAAACTGCTAGTCGCCACTGTTGTTCAAAATAAAATGAATCATCAATCTCAACACACCATTTTAGAATTTAAAATTTAGAATTTAAAACTAGGCCATTCTATATGGCCTAAGCCAAATAAGTACTACCAATGGGAAAAATAACAGCTACAAAGAACTAATTTTTCTGCTCCTATAAATTTTAATTCTCAGTCTCTCCTGGTTTGCTCTTCAGGTTACTAAAGTCAAAAAAATATTCTCCACGTTTATTTTTTTATTCCTGCTACTAGAAGTGAAAAGAGTTGGAAAGACAAGGCTAAACCATTCCTGTTTAGAAGTTAAAATCTGCTGGAATTCTCTTCCAGGACAAACCTCCACACAGAGGAGAAACTGCAGGACAAAGTATCCAAATTAAGCAGGAATGGGCAAGAGACAATGGAAAAGAAGGTCCAGAAGAGCTCAGAACTCTCAGCAAGTACAAGGTAATATTTTTATTTGAAGCAAGAAAAGCAACATACAATAGAACATAGCACCCAACAAATATACAAAACTCATTCTTTCAAGATCACATGGAACATTTAAAACTGATAATTTCCTGACAAAAGGGTAAGTCTCTTTTAAGTTTTTGAATATTCAAGTGGGATTTATCTCAGGGATGCAAGGATTTTTCAACATTCACAAATCAATCAATGTGATACATCACATTAACAAACTGAAGAATAAAAGCCATATGTTCATCTCAATAGATGCTGAAAAATCTTTCGACAAAATTCAACAATGATTCATGATAAAAACTCTCCAGAAACCAGCCACAGAGGGAACATATCTCAACACAATAAAGGTCATATATGACAAACCCACAGCTAACTTCATCCTCAAAGTATTTCCTCTAAGATCAGGAACAAGACAAGGATGCCCACTTTCACCACTTTTATTCAACATAGTTTTGGAAGTCCTAGCCATGGCAATCAGAGAAGAAAAAGAAATAAAAGGAATACAAATTGGAAAAGAAGAAGTAAAACTGTCACTGTTTGCAGTTGACATGATACTATACATAGAGAATCCTAAAGATGCCACCAGAAAACTACTAGAGTTAATCAATGAATTTGGTAAAGTTGCAGGATACAAAATTAATATACAGAAATCTGTTGCATTTCTATACATTAAAAACAAAGTATCAGAAAAAGAAATTAAGCAAACAATCCCATTTACCACTGTATCAAAAAGAATAAAATACCCAGGAATAAACCTACCTAAGGGGGCAAAAAACCTGTATTCTAAAAACTATAAGACACTGATGAGAGAAATTGAATACACAAACATATGAAAAGATATACTAGGTTCTTGGATCAGAATAATCAATACTGTTAAAATGCCCATACTACTCAAGGCAATCTACAGATTCAATGCAATCCCTATCAAAATACCAATGGCACTTTTCATAGACCTAAAACAAATAATTTTAAAATTTGCATGGAAACACAAATAGCCAAAACAATCTTGAGAAAGAAGAACAGAGGTGGAGGAATCATGCTCCCTGACTTCAGACTATACTACAAAGTTACAGTAACCAAAACAGTATTGTACTGGCACAAAAGCATAGATCAATGGAACAGGATAGAGAGCCCAGAAATAAACTCATACACTTATGGTCAATTAATCTATGACAAAGGAGGCAAGACTATGCAATGGATAAAAGACAGTTTCTTCAATAAGTGGTGCTGGGAAAACTGGACAGCTACATGTAAAAGAAGGAAATTAGAACATCTCTAACACCATATACAAAAATAAACTCAAAATGGTTTAAAGAGCTAAATGTAAGAGTGAAAGCCATAAAACTCCTAGAGGCAAACAAAGGCAGAACATTCTTTGACATAAATTGCAGCAATATTTTTTGGATCCTTCTCCTCAGGCAAAGGAAATAAAACCAAAAATAAACAAATAGGACCTAACCAAACTTAAAAGCTTTGCACAGCAAAGGAAACCATCAACAAAATGAAAAGACAACCTATTTAATGAAATATTTGCAAATGATATGCCTGATAAGGGAATAATATCCAACATATATAAACAGCTCATACAACTCAACATCAAAAATACAAATAACCTGATTAAAAAGTGGGCATAAGTAGTGAGTAGACATTTTTCCAAAGAGGAAATGTAGATGGCCAATAGGCACATGAAAAGATGCTCAACATCACTAATTATCAGGGAAATGCAAACCAAAACCACATTGAGAGATCACCTCACACCTGTCAGAATGGTTATCATCAAAAAGAACACAAGTAACAAATGTTGGCCAGGATGTGGAGAAAAAGGAACACTTGTACACTGTTGGTGGGAATGTAAATTGGTGCAGTCACTGTTAAAAACAGTATGAACGCTTCCCAAAAAACTAAATATTGAACTACTATATGACCCAGCAATTCCACTCCTGGGTATATAAAATCACTAATTCGAAAAGATACATGCACTCCAATGTTCATAGCATGCATTATTTAAAAAAAAAATTTTATTGGGGTATAACTGATTTACAATGTTGTGTTAGTTTCAGGTGTACATATAGCATGCATTATTAACAATTGCCAAAATATGGAAGCAACCTAAGTGTCCATCAACAGATAAATGGATAAAGAAGAGAATACAACTCAGCCATAAAATGAAGGAAATTTCCCCATTTGCAGCAGCATGGATGGACTTGGAGGGCATTATGCTAAGTGAAATAAGTCAGACACCGAAAGACAAATACTGCATGATATCACTTATATGGGGAATCTAAAAAAATACAACTAGTGAATATAACCTAAAAGAAGCACACTCACAGATATAGAGAACAAACTAGTGGTTACCAGTGGGGAGAGTGAAGAGGGGAGGGCAATATTGGGGTAGGGGAGTAAGAGGTACAATTATTAGGTATAAGCTACAGGGGTATATTGTACAACATGGGAAATACAGCCAATACTTTATAATAACTATAAAGAGTATAACCTTTAAAAATTGTGAAGCACTAAAAATTGTACACCTGTAACTTATATAACACTGCACAGCAGCTATACTTCAATAAAAAAAGAAGAAAAACTAAAAATTAAAATAAATAAATAAGAGTAAGTCTCAACAACTTTCAAAAGACTGAAGCTGAAGAGGAGAATATACTACTCTAAAATATGCCTCTTTGTCATAAGGATTATTTTAGCCTGGTAATTTTTAAGAAACAGCAGAATAGAAAAAGCTCTGAAAACTGAGTAGAAGTTACCATTTTGTAAAAGACATTTACATTTATAAGGGAAAACTCCCTTTGTAAGCACGTCTCCCTCTCTATACCAGAAAGAGAAAGATGACTCTAAATTTCTAGAAACTCTTTATGAATAGAGAAGGTAATGACTTAAATTTGCTTAACTACTTTACTCCTGTTTACTGTGTTTTTCCTGGTAATTTCTCATCTCTTCTTTTGTCTTTATCTGAAGATGTTATTTAAGATTGTAGCTTGGGCCATTTGAAGGAGTTTTTCTCAGTTTTCCCAGGTCTCTAATGTATACAGAAGGTAAATATGTTATTAAACTTGTTTGTTTTTCTCCTATTAGTCTGTCTTTTACTATAGGAGGTCCCAGGCAACAACCTAGAAGGGTAGAGGAAAACTATTTTTGCTCCCCTGCAAAGCCAAAGAGGTCCTATTACCTGATAATAGCACAGTTAGGCTAGAATGAAGAACCAAAAACTACAGGAAAAATCTCCATAATGTAAGAAATTACTTTTCAATAACCTATTGGCCTCAGGATGAATTACACGACAAACTTAAAAGTATTTTGAACTCGATGATAGTGAAAATGCTGTACCTCAAAACTTAAAGAGGAAAAATCCCCTGCACAGCAAAGAAAACTATCAATAAAATGAAAAGGCAACCTACTGAATGGGAGAAAATAATTGCAAATCATATATCTGAAAAGGGGAACAGATCTAAAATAAACAAAGAACTCACACAACTCAGTAGCGAAAAAAAAACAAACAACTGGATTAAAAAATGGACAGAAGACCTGAATAGACATTTTTCCAAAGAAGACATACAGATGGCCAATAGACACATGAAATGATACTCATCATTAATCATCAGGAAAACACAAATCAAAACCACAACAAGATATCACCTCATTCCCATTAGAATAGCTATTATCAAAAAGACAAGAAATAACAAGTGTTGGTAAGGATGTGGAGATGGGTACTGTTTGTAGAAATATAAACTGGTGCAACTACTATGAAAAACAGTATGTAGGTTTTGGTTCCTCAAAAAACTAAAAACATAATTCACATGACCCACCAATTCCACTTCTGAGTATTTATCTAAAGAAAATTAAAACACTAATTTGAAAAGATATGCACCCCCATGTTCATTGCAGCATTATTTATAATAGCCAAGATATGGAAACAACCTAAATATCCATTGTTGGATGAGTAGATAAAGAAATTGTGGTATATATACAATGGAATATTACTCAGCCATAAGAAAAGAATGAAATCTTGCCCTTTGTGACAATATGGGTGGACCCTGAGAGCACAATGCTAAGTGAAATAAGTAACAGAGAAAGACAAATACCATATGAAAAGAGAGAAACCAAGGTCACTGACACAGGGAAGAGATTGGTGGTTTCAAGAAGTGGAGGATGGGGGCAGGGAGAGGCAGGGAAAAATGGATGAACTGGTTCTTTTTTTAAAAAAAAATAAATTGAATAAATCTTTTAAAAAGAAAAAAGATGTGAAACATTCTTGAAAGCAATGAAAGAAAAATAAATCAATTGAGATATATTCCTTGCTCATCATCAAAAGCCACAATATTATTAAAATGTCAATTCTTCTTAAATTGATTTAAAGATCCAGTACAATTCCAATAAAAGCCATTCTGTAGATATGGACAAACTTGTTTTAACATTGCATT